TAAATAAAAATAAGGATATTGTTTCCATCTACAACTAAAAAAATAAATAAAAAAGCATACTCTAGCCCAAACTCAAGCATGGTAGCTAAACACATGTTGTATGTATCAAAAGAATTCTCTTCTTGGGGCTGGGGATGTGGCTCAAGCGGTAGCGTGCTCGCCTGGCGTGTGTGCCGCCCGGGTTTGAGCCTCAGCACCACATACAAACAAAGATGTTGTGTCCGCTGAAAACTAAAAAAATTAAAAAAAAAAAAAAGAATTCTTTTCTAAAGTCAAAAAGGGACTATATTTACTGCAGATTAATCACTAACTTTCAGATTTAAGCACAACCTGGTGATATTATTAATATAAGAGTGTGTGGATGAAAAGGACAGTGAAGATAGTAATCTTGGCACTACTGTCAAGACCTTTTCATTGATTTTCATGACTGCTAGTGAAATAGCAGCAGGGCCCAGTTGTTACATGGGCTTACTCTTGAGCCAGACAAGGTTCCGAAACAGCAAGGTACTTAACCTCTCCATGCCTCTGTTTAATCACTGGGTTGTTGGGAGGATTAAGTAAATTAAATCATGTAAAACCCTTAGAACAGTGCCTGGCACAGATGTAAAACAAATAAATATTGGCTATTACAAATATTTGATGTCTTCAATGCTGGGTAGCATGATATTAACTATCTTCAAAAAGATGTCATTTTAAAAAATGTAATTTCCTATACCAATGATGGTAAATATATCAAGCACTTACTGAGTACAAGCTCTATTCTAAGCAGTTTACATATAACTAAGGTTCTTATATGATTATTGCCTAGCATTCTACAAATGCAGTTTATAGAGTTTATTCACTTGTGCTGGGTTTTCATATTTTTACCTGATTTCTTCCCTTGGCAGAAATGCTGCTTCTTTCATGATGACATATATGTGTGCTGCCCAGTACTGCTAACCCACTGCTCTAAGATAGGAGACTAACTAGCTAACTACCTGTAGGCTAACATGTGACAAAAGCATGGGAGATTATTTTGGGAAACCTCACAAACTTCAGAAGTTAGACATCACCCTGTACCTAGGTTTTAGAATTGTGTGTAGAAGGTGGAGTGTTGCTGATGTTATATCCTCTTAGTCCCCAAATATTCTGGTTTTACAAAGACCAAATCCACATCACCAAGAACTCGAATTTACCCCAGCATAACATCAAAAAAAAAGAGCAAAGAATACAATAATTTTCTCATTTATTTCTAGTCAATGATTAAAACACATCCTGAAAGTGCAATCCTTCTATCATGCAAAATAGATTTTTTTCAGATGTCATAAATTACATATATCATATGCCAAGTTTACCAAACATTTCCTATAACATACATGTAAAAACTGCAACATACCATGACTCATATCCAAATACTTCCAGAACTCCTAAAATTATGTTCAATATTTAAAATACGTACACTAGTATTTTTTCTTTGAAAGAAATTTTACCAACATGCCAGCACTTTATGTCAACTTTAAATTAGTACAGATTGAACTCATATCTTCAGAGAAATGAATTAAATGTAGCTAACGTGACCTCTTTTTTCCCCTGTCCTCCCTCAGTAAAATTAATCTCTTCAATTTAAGTAAAAGAAAACGAGTTAGAGTGCAAGTGTAATGCAATTGAGACATAGATATGAAGTCTTTTTACAAATGCTCCCAAAGTAGCTTGCCCTTATAAATGAGTCAGTACCTTACCTACCATAATTACACAAATTTGTTTACTAGTTAAGTACCTTAATTTAAAAACGACAAATTACTCTTATTCTTTTTAACAGTGCTTTCTAGAAGTCTCCTAAAGACAAAATCAGGATGTACACAGCACGAAGTAGGCAACCATTTCATACTGCTAAATCTAAAATGTCACATAATTCAATGTAAATATGCACACACGTTCATGTAGCTGGTCCCAGGTCCCAGAATCTTATCAACTCCATCAATATTACATATAATCTTTACTATAAAGCCTCTTGGTTCACTCAAATCCCATACTACTCTAGAAGGTCAACTGCAACAGCACATGTGCCAAGGATATTAGTGGTTTTCCTTACACTCCCATTTTAAACGGGCACATACTTGCAATTAAATCTCTGCAATAAAAAGTTCACCTGAGGCCATTCTTGTCATTTTAATAGAGGTCCAGATTACTCTACCTGTGGTCCTGCCTTAGCTATATTTGTATTCCTCCAAAAAGGCTGAACAAGCCCCAGACGCGAGCAAATCAGATCTGCGGCCAACTCTGCTTGTCACCCCGGACAGGAAGCTCAACCTAACATGTATAGGTTCGTAGGGGTGGTGTGTTTGTGTTTGTGTGTGTGATGGGGAGTGGGGACGCGGACTGGAGAAAAAGGTGACTTAACACTTTCAACTTGTAAGTTTTTTAAATGAGGAGAAGAAATCCAAACAAATCAACACTCCCTCCTTTTCTCCACCTCTTTCAAGCGCGGGAACCTCCCACCCTCCTGGTGCGCACCTTCGGGGTTTAGAGGCCCGGGTCCCCAGGGCCTCAGCTAGCACAGGGTTTTACAACTCCCGCCCTCCCTGCAAAGAAGCCAGAGGACGCCGGGGAGAACCCGGCCCACTCCGCGGCGCCCCTCCGCAACACACAGCTCCCCGGGACCTCCCCCGCAGGTACGCCCCTCTCCGCCCGCACGACGTTCCCATTCCCGCCCCAAAGAGAGGTTCACCTGAGGCTGCAGGGACAGCCAATAGGAAGTCCCCGCCCGCGCGAACCCCCGCTGGTGTCCCCGCAACCAGCCCCGGCTTGGGCGCCTGAGTCCCAGCCCGGAGGAGGGGCGGAACCACGGAGCCTCCACTCCCCGCAGGATTACCTCGCAGCTCACAGCCGGCTTTGTGCGGCTTCTTCTTCTCCGCCGGCCGCCACCGGCTGCAGCGGCCACCGGATCCCCGCAGCCGCCTCTTAAGAGCCGCACGGCTCCAGAGGGAAGGGCAGCGGGACGAAGAGGGGGGCGTGAGGAGGGAGGGACCTGAATGCCCAGCCCAGGGCAGCAGGAAGCGGCGACACCTGGGTCGCCGACGCTTCTAGCTTTCGCTGTTTTAAAATATATAATTAAAAACCCCTCCTCTCCCTCCCGCCCCTCGCCCTGGCGACCGTTACCGGCTGGCTGCTCGCGCTTTGGCGGGACTGGCCGAGCTCCCCCCGAGCGTCCCTTGGCCCCGCCCCTTAAGGCCCCGCCCCAAGCACATCTCACTCCGCCCCACAGGCCCTCCCTTCAAGGCCCCCAGAGCGCCCCTGACTCCGCCCCTCGGCCTCCAAGCATTCTAGCTCCACCTCCTGTAGGTCCCGCCCCTGGCGGGCCCGGGCTCTCTTAGGCCCCGCCCCTCGCGCCCCTCACACGGTTTGGTCCCGCCTATCGCGGCCCCCCGTGGGGCCGCCCGCTCCGCGTCCGTGCAGCTGCGGTGGTGGGGGCCTAGAAGCTCTGCTGCCCGGAGGGCCTATTGCGGGGCGGCTGCCTGGCGCCTCTACAACGTCTTTCTCTGGCTGTGCAGCTGCGTTCCGCGGCCGGAGGGGGAAACGACCCCGACGGAAACCAGACCGCGAGCTGGAGGAGGGGAGCCTCGGAAATGTCTCCCGCCCTAACCTGAACTAACTCCCCAGCGACTTTCGAGGTTGAGCAGCAGCTTTTGGATTGTGCCTTTGCGCCGCCCACACTGACTGCTGGGTCTCCATGGGGAGGCCACTGCTAAAGTTCGACCTCCGCACGCCCCCCATAGGAGGGTCCTGGATTTTCTTAGCACATTTGCCTTTGGAGGCGACCCCCCCACACTCGCACGCACACACACACCCAGCCACTCAGGGGCTGAGAGAGGTGGTCTCTCAGTTCTTAGTTTGGACCTGTCGAGAGTCTTCACGGTTTTGGCCCCTCGCCTGGTAACCTTAAGAGACCTGACCTCTGAGAGGTAAAAAAGTCAAGACGCCGCCAGCAGCTTTCAAAATGAATTCCAGACAGGGCAAACTTTGCAACAATTGCAGGGCTGGGGATCCATCCACAGGTGACACGGCCGCCCACCCCCGCCACGGAGACACGTTTGTCACCCCCAACCTATTCTCGAAATAGACCTCCCCACAGCGCACACTTTTCTCTGCCACCCACAACTTGCATATCCCTCCTGCACACGTCCTCACCCGCAAGCACACCCCTCAGAGCGCCATTCTAGTGATTCATGGTCCCTTGGGTCAACCCCACCCTAACACACACAACAAACTTCAATCCCCACCCTTATCTCTCGTCGTTTCCAAGGCACTGGCGACAGTCCATTTCATTTCCTTCCTCATCTGCAGACTCTTCCCCCTCAAATACCTCTCACCATCCCCCTCATCTTCATCCCCTCCTTCTTCCCTAAAAATGTGTTAATTAAAATGTAGTTTCCTCTTCCCACATATGAAGTGTGGAAAAATGAATCTTGGCACAAGCTGTGATTCATTTATGCTCATTTTCTCTCTCCACTGGACTAAGGCACTAAGGTTATAGAAATTTTATTCTACCACCATCTCCTATATTTTTTTTTTCTAATCTGACCATGCCTTCATATTTTTAAATACTCCTAAACAACCGCGGGGAAGACTTCCGAGTTTGGGGGAGAAAACAATATTTAGAAAATGCTCAGCCTGTCATTTTATTTGGCATTTAAAAATATCTGCAGTATTTGCGAGAGATACTGGGAGTGGCTGGATGTTTTCTTGCATTTAAAAAGAAAAAAAAATGAAAAGCTTTTCATGCATCATGGTTAGCCTTTTTATGAATAGCAAAAATTTTAAAAAAGTATACTAAGGGCACACATATCAGATAATAGTCTCCACAATACCGGGCTTTCGCCAGTCACAAATCTAGACCCCCATCACCATCAAAGGAAGACAAATTCACATAATGATTTTAAGCGTGTCTAATGAACAATCTTGCACAATCAGTCCCTTTCCCACAGGGATTTTTGAGCAAAATGGATAAAAGATCTGCTTACCTGAAGATCCTAAGCTTCCTTGAGTGCAGGGTTGTAGACGTGTGTGTCTGTCTTCGGTTCTCTAGGTGTGGATTCTGCAGTGCTGCACAGACACTCACTGCAGCCTCGGACCAGCGACAGCAGCGGCGCGGCGGCGGCGGCAGCAATAGCAGAAGCAGCAGCAACTGCTGCTTGCTTCTCCCAAGGCTGAGTAGTAAAGTGTGTGACTTAGTAGAGACTCCACAATTACCATTAGGCGCCTGCTTTATAAGAGAGGAGGCGGAATCTTTCTAAAAGGAATGGGTTTTGTTTTTCCTCTCCACTATTGCTTCATAAGAGGCAGAAAGGGTGGAATCAGGGAGTTTTTTAGACTCAGTAAAGCAATACAGCTGTGGGAGGTCAAGGTTAAAATTAACTGGGTGACGAGGGACAGAGGCACCGATTTTAGGGTGAGTCAATGAAACGCTAGAAGCACTAGTTTTAAAGAGCCCTTCTAACGTCCAACATTGGGCTTAATAGCAAAACTAAAACCATGTGCCTTGAAATTGATTTGCAACTTTTGTTAAAAAAGTACAGTGCTAAAATAACTATAGAAAGGGAGGCTATTTGGTACTTAATACAAGAATGGAAAGAATGAGAAAATACAACTCATTTATGTAAGGGGAGCAATGAATTCAAGTCCTACTAACACCCATAAGCATACCTGGAGTTTCAGTGAATGCCAGAAATAGAAAACATATTATTGAAAAATTTCAATTTTACTCATGTGTTATAAAATCACATTATTTATTTTAAAAACATCTAAAATAATTTTAGAAAATGATTGCAGAGTACTATTATTTCAGTGTCAATTCAAAGGCCAGCAAAATTAAGAAACTCATGTGACTTAGCTTACTTTAATGCAGGCAGATCTGTTAGGAACTATTAAAATGCGTTGTTCCACATATGAATTTAAATTGTAACTACAAATTTTATTTTTAATCATATTCCTTGATTTACACACTGAATATCTGTGACTTTTTTTCCCCATAGGTGAATGTGGAGGTGTGGTCTAAAAATATGACTAGACAAAAATATAAAAAATATTCTGCCATTGATTTTTTTTTTTTTTGGCACAGCCTTTGGTGATTACCTGAATGGTCTTAAGCAAGTAACAAATCTTACTTGGTTCTTACATTCCTATTTTGTAAAATGTGGAAGTTGGATTCAAATTTCCCAGGGCCCTTTAACATTCCAAAATACTGTGGTTTTATGACATTCATATGTTTATATTTTTGTTATTTAATGCAAATATGCCCCACTCTAAATTACCAAAAAATGTAGATTAAAATTAAACCTGTATTTAAATGTACAACCAGGGTTTGTTATTCACTACTATTCTGAAGTTATTTTGTAAATCAAATAATCACTTTGTAAAGTAAATAAACTTAATTTTATCTGAATTATGATTGTATACCCCACTATGACAAATTTTCCTAAAGTAGAACTCCACTGTATTGTTAAGGGTACTGGTTGACTAGAACACTATGAGGTTCATTAAATATACTGAAACAGTTTTCAAAAATACTTTATTAGTTGTTGATGGACCTTTATTTATTTATATGTGGTGCTGAGAATCAAACCCAGTGCCTCACACATGCTAGGCAAGCACTCTACCACTTTTTTAACTGGAGCATCAATGGATGGCAGAGTTGAAACCGATTTTAGAGCTCATCTACTACAAATGTGTAATTTTACAAGTGGAAAACATGGCAGCCCAGAGAAGCGAAATGGGACAGTGTTAGGGATAGAGCTGGGGTTAACTCCCACTCTTCACACACACGGCGAATAGACAATACTTATGAATATATACACCGTTTCACATTCCCATCTAGGGGACTGAGAGGACATGTCACAACAACAAAAAAAGTAATTATACTCAATGATACTCAATGACATTGTGTGCATATAGTATAAACTAAAGAAATATTTCAAAAAAGAACTGATAATGTAAGTATTAACACAAATTTGCCTTCAGATTTGGAAGCATTTATTCTAGTAATTGAGGAAAAGCTGCCCAGGGAAATATTAAAAACAAGACTTCCAGGGAACCCACACCAGCCACTAGAAAACTCTCGTTTAGCTTGCACCCAAATGACAGGACCTTGGATTACTCTGTAGTCTGTTTCCTTGCACCCACTGGTATTGTTTCCTTTGATACATACCCTTAAGCATGCCTGCCAAAGTTCCTTTTGGAGCCAGGGAAGGGAAAGTATTGTAGAAATTTATTTCTGGCTTTTAGGGATGCTTTTGGGATATTGAAAGTTTGGGGCCTTATACCAATATTTTCCCTTAAATCTTTTCTTTTCTTTCTTTTTTTTTTTTTGTTTTACATTTTCATAACATTTTAACATTTAATAGAAACTATATACAATAAATTTTTACTATATTTTACATGAGATAGCCACTGCAGAAATTTACATGGTTAGAAGCAAGATGGATGGTTAAAGGGGGCCCAGTCCTTAACTGTCTCAGGATAAAGTTGGAGTTCACTGGAGAAAGGGTTCAAACTGCTCAATTAAGTTGAGGTGAGGAAAAGCTAAAATGCAGGCCTTTAGATAAAGACAACCAGGCACTGGAGCAACCAGTATCTCAACGGTACCATTTATAAACATAGCCCTCACCTAATCACCTCTGTGGATTCCTGTCCATTACTTAAGAAATCCCATTACAAAGATATCACTTTCCCCTTTGACATGGTCTCAAACACTCAATTTCAAAGATAGGTAATCCCTATCTTCTTTGCCTAGGGTAGAAAGAAACTCATAACTTTTGGACACTATTGGCCCATCCCCCTAAGTATAGTTTTACTTGACTATGGTTTTCTATAACCCAGAACAAAACAACTGGGTTGCCCCTGTTTAGTGAGAGATGATCAGTGATACTTGTTTGAAGAAAGGGAAAGTGAAATCCATTGAAGTCATATGGTTCCCAGAACAAATTCTCAACTGCTAGCGGTAGATTCTGTTTTTCCATTTGCTGTAGCCAATCCACTCTGAGGCAACAGTGCACAGCAGTTTTCAGAATTTACTGATCCCTGGGATGTGTACCCATCTCTAGCCATCTGTAAATGGCCCAGGTTACTGTGTGATGGAAAGCTAATTGGGATTGTTCTTTACTTGCCAAAATATCTCCTGGGCCTTCAGTGAATTCTTTGACTAAAAGATCTTCAACAGTTAATGAAGGATCAAAAAGCAAGGGTGGTGAAGGCAGCGAGGTGGTGCAGTCCTGTATCCCAGCGGCTTCTGGCGCTGAGGCAGGAGGATCGCAAGTTCAAAGTCAGCCTCAGCAATGGTGAGGCGCTAAGCAAATCAGTGAGACCCTGTCTCTAAATAAAATCTAAAACAGGGCTGGCAATGTGGCTCAGTGGTTGAGTACCCCTGAGTTCAATCCCCAGTGCCAAAAAAAAGCAAGGGTGAAGGAAGGCACTGCATACCCTGCATACCATTAGCAACAACATCCAAGTCACTGAACTCCAGTGGTAAACTCTCCATGGGCTGAAGCTCATTAGCATTCAAGTACAAATCCATGGGCAGGGCTTCCAGATTGTCTAGCACAGACAGTACCTGCTCCAGCTTGTACATCTGAGGAGTCAACTGGAAATGCAGTGGACAGCACGGATCCTCAGAGAGGCTTATACCCACCAGTTTGTTGTAAGGTATCTCTTCAGATCCCTGGCAGCATTTGAAAAGAACCTGATTTGTGTCCTGACAAATATGGGTAAGGCAGTGTCTGGTCTTTGAGAGAGACTGATTGGAACAATGAACATCATCCACAAAAGCCAAGCACCTCTGAATAGAACAACAAATATCCTGTTGAGTGGCATCATTTGTGGCCAGCATTCTGCATCTCTTCAGCTGCCTGTGTTGCAAGACTTTAACTCTAGCATTGGCAGTACCATTGGAGATATTTTAATTGCTTTAAATTCTCTTGTTCTTTGGCCAAAAGTCCCTATGGGCCAGTAAGGAAACTACTACCTAGAGCTTTATGTTCCACTTTGCAATTATGTAAGTATAGACGCTGCTGCTCCTTGAGCAGATACTGAAGTCGTTTAAACTGATCAGTGTACAAAGACTGCAAATGAACCAGTTTCTCACCCATAATCAGTGCCACTTCTTCGGCCATGTGGACACTAGCATGTCCAGTATCCGGCTCTCTTTGCTTCAACTACTTTCTGGAGTCTGAGAGCCCAGTGCTGTCTTAGCATATGGACTCAGCTGTCACAAGAGTGTTTCACCCATATGCCCTGCATTGGTCTACTTCATTTGAGCATGAAGTGCTAGGGCATTCCTATAGGCATGTTCACAGAAGAACATCCCTTCCAGAAAATGCCTATTCCACAAAGTCCTGATAGACAGTGAGTAGGTAGGTTTCTAGAGGGCAGGCAGAAGTCAGCCTTGCAGGGTATGTACTGTAACTCCCTGCCGCCCTCGAATCTCCCAAGCTCTATAGACTTTGCCTCCCCTTTAACTTCATCCTCCCTGACCCCCACCACGTGCGTTGAAGGTATCTCCTTTACCTTAAATGGATCTTGTATTCCTGACAGGAATAGGGCTAACCCAAGCCCAGTCTCCCCAGGTGCAAGGAATCATTAGGGTTAAAATCTGTTGTGTTGGATGACGTAGCACACTTGGGTGTTTTTTGTACCTAGCAGAACAATTAAACAAGTTTCTTGAAATGCCTGTGCCTCAGTTTAGCCATCTTTTCAGTGGTGGTGGAGGGTTTTAAGACCTGCTCTCCCTACTTTATAGGGTTGGCATGAAGTTCAGGTGACATATATAAATGTAAAAATACTTTAAACTTTTTAAAGGAATTACCTCAGCTAAATACCTGACAGAAACTTATACAATTATCTAAGTAATCAGACTTGATAAATCCCTGTAACTTTAGTGAGATATCACCCTCATGATCCTCCTTTTTTTTTAAAGGAAAAAAGTGTTTATTACTATTTATTCATTTTCTAGTTGGTAACTTAAAATCATCATGACTAAAGAAATAAGCAAACATCTACTACAGGAGAATCGCGAGTTCAAAGCCAGCCTCAGCAACAGTGAGGCACTAAGCAACTCAGCGAGACTCTGTCTCTAAATAAAATACAAAATAAAGCTGGGGATGTGGCTCAGTGGTGGAGTACCACTGAGTTCAATCCCCTGTACCAAAAAAAAGGTCTCCTACAGGGAGAAAATTGAAGGAAATTTGTTGCCCAGTTTCCTTCATC